TAATTTTTCCAGAGATTCGAAAAGAAAGTTCGCTAAACTGATCTGCATAATAGATGTTAAAAGAAAAGTTAATAAACTAAATATTCGGGGCAAGTTGTGGGCAGCAGTTAGCAATCAAATATAAGTGGTTTATCTCATTTAGAGGATCCACACCACTAAGAAGTTCATCTTCAAAGTCATCTTCTTGGTCCTTAATAAGTCAATGGAACCAATTTCAACTCAGAAGAATGAAAGTAGAATTGGGTAATCGGATAATTGAAGAATCAAACACAATGAGTTTCATTCTGATTGCAACAAAATCTCTATTTCCAATTGAAAGAATGCAACCCCCTTTAAATTTGTTCCTATTTTACAAATTATAAAATAACAAGTATAACGATTTAATGCATTACGAAATTTGTTCTAATTTTTACTAATTTAGCCTTCAGAGGAATTTGAATTTTCCGCGATATGACTAAATGTTGGGGGTAACTCTAGTAATTAATATCCCTAAGACTGGAAATCTTTAAAGACTGGGGCAGCTTGTCAAACCTCATTAAAAGCCTTTGCCATGGCATCAAGATATTCATAAGTAGGTCTAATATGTAATGCAGATTTAGCAGAAGAAGATAAGAAATCATCATCTTCACTCTCAACTTCTTCACAGTTGCTATCGCTATCCTCCTGCCAAAATAAATTTTGCTGAGATTTTCAAAAATCAGCTTCACAGTCATGGATGTGATAGTGGGAAATGTGAATTTAAGTTGTGGCAAACTACCTCATTATCCCCATCTACTTGTTCTTGGATTTCTAGTAAAGTGTCCGCTAGTATAGCCAGAATCTATTGTGCCCAGAAAGCACGTAAGAATGTTAAATTAAAACTAAAATTTTAATAAGAAATCAAAGAAAAAAGATAAAAAAAAAACATCAATTACATAACATTTTTCACTTTCATATTAATATGAAAAGACAATGCATAAACTAATACCTTAGTAGGAAGCGGCACAACTGTCCATTCATCTGGTAATTTCTTGGCTTTGGAGCGGGTCGTTATGCCTGTGTCAGACTATAAAAAAATGTATACGATAGAGTGAGCTTTTTGAGAATGCAAAATAAGTGCCAGATGTAAAAGGAGTAAAACCTAACCTTGATAAGATGGCCTTTAACATTAATGTTCCCCAATTCAACATGTCGAGTCAAAAGCAACAAAGCCAAAGCAGTAGTTGTCACTTTAATGTGGTAGGCTCCTTGAATTTCCCCTGGATGTAATAAGCAAAACAACCAAATCGACGGATTAACAAATTCTCCAGATAAAGTCATGTTTATATTGAAAAAACGAAAAGGAAAATGAAAGAAGAAACATGAGTAAAGAATATTATTACTTTGTGAAGTAATGTATTTCACACAAATAAACAAAAGTCTAATTAACAAGAGGACTTGCCTTGTTGTTGGGTCCATTCAGACATTACATAAGAAAACGAGTTTAGATGACCTTCGGCAGGGATAGAGACGAGCAAGTCAACAAATTGTTCAACATGTGGGACACTCATGTGGACCTGCATCAGGGAAAATAACTTGAATTATCTATAATTTATAAAAGAAAAAAAAAACAAATTCCTACTTTGGAAAATGTTTTTATAAGAAAATCTGACCAATCTAGCAAAAATTAGAAGCAATGAACATTTCAGTGCCGCGATTTGTGAACACTGCATGCGTCTGATAAGTGATGTGCTGCGCCATTTGTGAAGGCAAATGTAAAATAAGTTGTAGAATGTAGCTGCCGACAAAAAGTGATCCGGAAGTTTCTAGTTCAGGGTCTAGAAGCCTGCACAACAATATAACCAAATTGTGATGGTGTGAGCGTGACTCACAGAAATATTACTTATTTCGCATTTATGTTAGGGGCTGAGGACATTTATTACTAGAAAATATAGAGCACAATGCATAAACATACCTCAGAGTCATGCATAAAAAATCAAATTACATATGAGTAACTGACATCTCGTCAAGATGGAAAACAATATTTAGGCGACAACGTACAGTACCCTTGAAGTTTAGCATAGTTTTTTTTATTTTCTAAATAAGAAAAGAGAGAAATAAAGAAAGAAAAAACACATGGTCATCTTTTAAAACTACAAATCACCCCAGGATAATGGTTTATATTTAACATATTGCATCATTAAAGTGGTGTTAGCTTGTACAACAAGCACAGGCCTTAAGAATTTTTCTACCACTTCTCACAACTATCCCTTTTTTTCTTGAATGAGACAAAACATATTTAGTTTCTGCAGAATTAATGCATCTACAACATCTTCTTAACATTGTACTACAATCTGCTGCCACAAACAGAAGGGTCATACACACTAACAAAAATGAGCACATCATCTCCAAACTACATCCAGCGAACTCTCATCAAACTACTCATATTGAATTCTTCCTCAAATTCAACCTCTTCATAATCAAACTCACAGCTAATTCTCGTAATAGGACAGCTTCTTCATGTCCCCCAACTTCTTCCTAATACGAGTTTGAAGCACCAGACTGCCCACCTCGTTATCGGACTTCTGCGGGTCGAGATTCCTTATGTCCCAGTGGTCAAACACCACTAGTGGGAAAATAATGTCGGAATTCCTAGCCTGGAAGTCGGTGAAGAACCCAAGAGACTCCATCACTGGCAGGTAGGCCTGGAGATTGTAGAAAGGACTGTCGGACATCTTCTCCTCTTTGAACACATGTCCCCTCTTATTGTACACAGTTTGATAGATCAAACATAAATCGCGCTCGATCGCCTTAATCTCGACCAAGTAGATGGGCTCCATTAAACAAGGATGTGCCGAGAGATATGCTGCGTACACGACATGTTGAGCAGCATCGATGATCTGTTTAGGGCCTCTGGATAAGAAGTCTTTGGCGATCTTGGCGTCACGCAGCTCAAAGCGGATGTTCCTCATGTTCTCTCCCGCAAGCGGGCCCGCCAGCGTGGCTTTTTGGAAACCTTCAATGACTAAGCCCTTGATATCATCCAAGTGCTTGACGACTCCATTGCACATGTTAACCAAAATGTTTGGGCCAGTGGAGTTGGGTCCAAAGCACCAGATCTTGTTGGCCAGCTCCCTGTCCCAGCCAAACTCGTTATTCAGGATATTCGAGCAGAACTCGGGGTCGACATGCGGGCCAATCCGCCCGTCATCGATGGCCTTGGCAAGGAATTTATCCAGGGGCCGAGCCACCATGTAGAGGCAGATGCTCTTGTTGCGAGACATTTTCATGACGGTACAGTCGGACCTGTCAAGAACCGACTCACAGAAGGTGACGATCGGTGAGGTTGATGTGATCTTAGCCCCTCCCAATAAATCATCCTGCAAGTAGTTTTTGCACCTATCGAGGTGAGGCTCAGTTACGCCACTAATGGAACTCGTCGCTTTCTCGTCAACATTGCAGACAATCATAGGGTCTAACTTGCTTAGGAGCGTCAAACCTTCAAGGAGCTTCATGGCTATTTCTTCTTGAGCCTTGATGTTAATGGGCAAGAGAGGTGGAACCGGCAATCTCATATCCTTAATTACGTGATAATTTTCATTCTTAGCATCTATGAGAGTGGCGCTTTTGCTGATGACGTCGTCAAGGCCAACCATGGCCACTATATTTCCAGAAGTGACTTCGTCAAAAGTATGCTTCTTGTTCTTCCCCATCAAGATAATCATACGCTCAACTTTCTTAAAGCAGTTTGGTCCAATGATCCTGACCTTGAGGCCCGTCGAGATCTTTCCTGAGAGGACACGAGCTAAGGCCAAGAACTTTTTAATGTCATAGGTTGGAATCATCTTGCAGACGT